TGTGTATTCTACTCATCAGTAGTCCTCCTCTTTGGCCAACTGCAGTTTTAGAGAAGATTTCAAAGAGCAGTAAAGGAAGAAAAGGAATACCTGTTCAGTCAACCAAACCCTAGAAACCACTGAAATTCAACATGTAAGTTCAGAAAACATTTAATGATCACCTATTGTGACCTGGACACAGTTCTAGGTAATAAGGACAGTGTTGACCAAGATAAAGGGCCCCAGTTTAGTGGGACAAATTTTAACCAATTCATTAGATGAATAGTTAACTAATTATCATAGGTGCCCAAAGGAGAATGGAAACCAACTTTGCCTAGTAGCTAGGCAAGGCTTAACAACTGCACTAAATCTAAGAGATAAGAGAAGAAGAAAACCCTCGGCAAAGGAGAGAGCCTCTGTGAGGAGCAATAAAGCTCACTGATGCAAGTTTATAGCAGTTGGGACAAACAAGCTCAAACAGAGAAACAACTGAGAATGTAAAGTGGCATTACAGGACAGGAAGTTAGAGAGGTAGGCAGAAATCAGCAGGGCCTTGAAAGTTAGTGGAGATTTTATAATTAAGAGAACTAATGCACATTATACTGGAATACTTGAAAAATATAAAATAGGACTGGGGAAATACTTCAGTGATCCAGCATTTGCCTAGCATGCTTGAGGCTGTGATTCAATCCCCAGCACCACAAAACAATAAGATATATTTTTTTTAAAGCCCTATAAAATAAAAAGTAAAAATATCACTTTGGCATAGTGTGAACAATGAACTGGAAGGTGGCAACATAGAAGATGTGAGAAAACCAGTTAAAAGTTCCTAGGGCAGTCTGAGTAGATACAATGTTGGCCTTAGTTGGTAGAAGAGGAAGACTTCTCAGACCCTAGCAGTCAAAGGAAAGATCTGGTGATCTAGTAATTAGTCTCAGTTCTTCTCTACGTTTTACAAAAAAACTACTCTGGTTTCTTAATGGAGAACCCCCTCAAATGTATGTTCATTCCTGACATTTCTAATCATGCTTTCCCCCGCTTCAGAATGCCAAGGATCCCTTCCCCACTCAAAATCTTACTCATCTTTCCTGGTTCAATTAAAATTCCATTGCCTTAATCAAGCTTTCCTCAGCTTCTGCAGACTACACTAAACCATCCCTTATCACTAACTATATCATGCAATTTAGCACAGATCATATGTTTCCCTTTATTTCATCCAATTTACCATGACTGTTTCTTCAAATTAATCACTAGACTCTCAAGAGCAGGGGCAAGCCTTTTGCTTTTCTATTATTCCCATTTCCTAAAGCCAAGTTTAGAGCCCAACTGTAGAAGTACCCATCAAATACCAGGAGACTGAGTAAAAAGGCAGAATATGCCGGGAACTGGTATTTCTCTGGAACACACACAACACAATTGGGGGATAAGGGAAGACTGATGTTATTGTTGTCATCTAGAGTACTTTTGTTTGGCTTGTGCAAAACATCAGGATGAAGAAGCAAGGAACTATACTAGTCAGTTCTGCAGTCCATTTTTTTTTTTTCAAAGGACAGTCTTGGGCCTTGTGTCTTAGCCATTGGTAGCTGGCAAATGACATATACTGGCTTACCACACTGGAAGGTAGCAATTGGAGAAAAGATGATCCACTCTGTACAACATTACACAAAATGAGACTTAGAAGCAGAGGTAGCAAATATGTGGCAACCCATGAGCAAAATAGCATCTGTCCCCGCTCCCCAAGTTTTCTTGAGGTTTCACAAGTAAAATATTGTATTTATTTAAGGTATACAATGTAATGACTTGATATATATATATATACTGTGAAATGTATATATACACATATATGTGTGTGTATATATATACAAATATATATATGTGTGTGTATATATATATACTGTGAAATTCATAAAATCTGCATATAAGCTAATCTATATGTCAAATATTTATTGAAAACATACAAAAGTGCTAGGCCTTGAGGGTTACATGAAGATAATAAGGTCTGTTCCATACGAAACTAAGCCCACTGCATTCCAGTAGAGCTTTCATGTATCCATGACCTTTCCTTCAGTAAGCCTTCACTTTTTATGTCCTGAAGGTAAGTCTGTGTCTCCTCTTGTTTGAGGGACGGTCACTAAGAGGCTATTTTCAGGCTGGAGTTGTGGCTAAGTGGTAGAGTGCCTGCCTAGCATGTGGGAGGCACTGGGTTTGATTCTCAGCACCACATACAAGCAAATAAATAAAGGTCCATCAATAACTAATAAAAATGTTTTTTTAAAAAAACACGCTATTTTCAATTTCTTAGAGAGTTTGCTTGTTCCCCTTCTCTGTACTAGTAAGAAAGCCCTGAGGGCATGAGTAGATCTCAGGCCACAAACTCTTCACTTCTATATCTAATGACCATAAAAGCCATCTCACATAGCTCATGCATTCCTTCTTTTCAAGGTGACTAAAAGATCTAAATTGATGGAAAAATTACTCTAAGAAACCATGTTGTCTTCCAATTATCATATCGATACAAGGTTGATAAAATCTAACTGCCTGAAGCCATAGGAGCAGTTAATAGTGCCCCTATGAAAATCATCTCAACATGAAAATCATTTCCAGTGACCTTATAACTTATAGTAGCCCCTGTGAGAAACTAGCATGCTTTACCACACTCATATATTTCTCTCCAAGCAAAACATTTAAGAAACTTTTATCAATATGTCCTGTGTCTCACATTCCTGGCATGTTCTCTGAGCAGTTGGACCTTGGCCAAAAAACAAAAACAGGTTCCCAAGAATTGATGGTCCCACCTTCCCAAACATTGTTTTTTATTTTGTCCAATTTTTCTATCTACTCTGAGCAGTAGATTGACTCACCAAGAGAATTTCCATTGGTCAGAGGCTTTCGGCTAGATGGGGAAGCTTTTAACCATCCAGAACCCTTCTCTTAGGTGTCAAAAGAGACCAGACTGCTTAGAAAATCCCAAATAAGGTAATTTAGAACTAGAAATGATCTCCTAAAAGAAATACAAGATTCCACAGATGTGGATGGGGGTATGGGACTGACAATACAGTCAATGTGGTTCTTGAAGTTATCTCAGTGAATCTGTTTAGGCCTAGAAAATATTTCCTGCATTAAATGGGGATACCAGGGTGTCCTGGCTCAGTCATGTCATATCATGTGTCCTTAGGGTTGATTAAACTAATCAAATCAAACTACATCCTTGTTCTTCCTTATTGCCCAATCAAAGCTACACATGAATGATAAGAACTGTCCCAGAAAATAAAAGAATGCTCTTTGGTAAAGGAAGTAAAGGGCATATGAGAAGTTATGACACCTGTCCTAGAAACTCAACATGAGCTCACTCCTCTGCAGGGTGCTGCCTGGCTAAGCTGTCACATCAGAACCTCCCATAAGGAAAAGGTATCTCATAATGATATCAATGGGGTAGAATGAAGCACATTTAGGCAATACCTTAGGAAAAACCCTGGTCTCACAAATTCCAAAGTAAAATCCCACACAGTGTTTAAAAAAGCATGAAATGAATGCGTAAACTTGTCAAAAGGGTTCAGTGGAACTAACAGTTGTCACATTTAACACACTTATACTCCATTAAAAGAGCTTCTATCAGGCTGAGAAGGTAGCTCATAAAGCACATGCTTAGCATGAGCAATGCCCTGGGTTCAAACCTCAGCACCAAAAAAATTGCCTGTCCAGATGGACAGGATCTGGGGCTGGGGCTGTGACAGAGTGAGAGTGCTTGCTTAGGATGTGTGAGGCACTGGGTTCGATCCTCAGCACCACATAAAAATAAAGGAATGCTATCTAAAAAAGAGAGAAAGAGGAAGGATCTAATATTATTATTCTCCATCACAAAATTCTATAAACTGTATTTTATAACAAGCAAACTTCACTTAAGGATACTCAGAGATTAAACAGAATCACAACATAAATTAAAGGTACAGCTATAGATAATCTGAGAACTGAAAAAACTATCCTTGTTCTTAGAGAACTGAAACAAACGCTTATGAGAAACAACTGGAGACATAGAAATCTTATTTGAATCTGCCGTTAAAAAGTGTTAACACACCAACAACTCCTGCCATCACTGTGGCTGAATTTGCCTGACAGGAGCTTTATGGCAAGGCACTGTGCATTGGCAAACTCTTTCCCACTCCATGAGTGAGTGAAGTGAAAGAATGGACTTCAGTAAGGTCCACAGAACAGGGGAAGCAAGAAAAAGAACAGTCTGCTTTGGAATTCTATGAGATGGAACTACCACACTGCACTCCCTCAGGACATTATAAAATATTTGGTTTCCTATGTTTTTTTATAAAATAGCTGCTTGCTTAGCATTTACTGAATTTTTTGACAATTATAAAAACAAAATAAAAATACAGATGTAAATAAGGTTTAAAACAGTCCCCCTAATAATTAAAAGATATATTCTGTATATATTCTCTCCTATTTCCCTAATATCAAGAAAAAAATCTACTTTTAATAAGTCTGACACAGTAATATTGGTTTAGCTACTGCCACAGGGGTGGACACTAATGACAAGATCTGAGATGTAGATTATTGTTCTTATATCACAGGTGAATGAAAAAATCTCCAGACAGAAGCAACTGGCTCTGAACTGTCCATATGGGCACAGTGATCTATGTGGCACTTAAACACTCAATGAAAAGGCATTTCAGGGCTGGGGTTGTGGCTCAGAGTTAGAATGCTCGCCTAGCATGCATGAGACACTGGGTTCGATCCTCAGCACCACATTAAAAAAATAAGATAAGATAGAATAAAGATATTGTGTCCACCTATAACTAAAAAATATTTTTAAAAAAAGGCATTTCAGCTAGTTCAAAAGTACATTGCCCAATGTGGAAGAATGACAGTATTCAAGTTAAGTGGAACTGTTACAACAATCAAAAGCTATAAATCATTCTATACACCACAGTTGTACTTTGAGCTGTGAAACACTGTTTACTCATACAGTTCAATGAATTTCCAAGTCCTTTTCATTGTTATCATAGCCTTACCTGCAAGCAGGTGAACAGAGGTGAAGCTCTTCTCCAGTTTACCCAGAAGTACAGTGAGAAAGCAGTCTGATGATAGAGAAGCAACATTTTCGGAACTCTGATCATAAACTACCACCTTCTGACTGCAATCAATGTCAACCTGAAATGCAAACAGAAGGCTTGTTAGGAAAGAAGGCTAGAAAAACAATCTCATAAACCCCTGGCAGAATAGGATCTCACATTTACTGGTGCTAAATCAAATAAATGATTTTGTTTTCAATTAATAATTTTTTAAAAATGAGATGCAGTCAATATATTAAATAAAGTTAGGACACAAATGATTTAAATGTTTGTAAAATTCAACTTTTTAAAAAATTATTTATTTCTTAGTTGGACACAATATCTTTATTTTATTTATTTATTTATTTTATGTGGTGCTGAGGATCGAACCCAGAGCCTCATACGTGCTAGGTGAGCACTCTGCCACTGAGCCACAATCCCAGCGCCCCAAAAATCAACTTTTAAAAGGCAAAAAATTGATGCTATTTTTGTGTAGATGTGCCCAAAACTCCTTGGTTTTAAATCCTTGACACTATAAAATAGTAAAGTTAAAAAAACAAATAATATGCAAAATAAAAAATAGTAACCCTTGACCTAAAGAAATATTTTTAAATCGTTCCTACATCACAACCATGAAATCAGCTGTTTGTTAAAATTAAAAGCTAAGCTCATTTTTTTATCCCTGAAGAAAAGAAATAGCCTTCCCTATCACATTGATGACATTTGAGTATTTCAGGAATAACTTCCCCAAACATAATACCCCTAAGTCTTGACCAATATCACAAGTAAATGTTATCAAATATAAAAAAGCACCTCTAATAATTAGTTCCTACTTTTTTCTAAAGCACTTGAAAAGAATAACTTACTTTTCAATGAATTTGTAGTCAGTACAAAAATGTTTAAATTGAGAAAACAATTTCAGCAAGCATTAATAGGGAAACATAACACCTATCCAAATTAGAGAAAGTTAACTCTTCTGTGTAGTTTAAATATTCTTAAATTTAACAATTCAACTGCAAATTATTCAACCAAAACTTCTTCAAATTACTTTCTCCACTTAAAAAGAAGCTTCAATTAACAATTATTCCCCAGTAGTGTGTCCATTTATTTTAAAAAGGCAAAAAAAGAAAGTCTTTACCTTATGTTTCGCTGAATGCTGGATAAGTTCTGTAATTAACACTTTGTCCTGTTGCAACCTTCGCTTCATAAGCTTGGAGCAGTTGATATTAATGGCTTCCAAAATGTGGGATGTATTGTATTCTACAAATGGCCGGCTATCAATTAGCAGCACTTTTTCCGTTCCACTTTCCAGCAGAGCCACCAACCTCTCAGTAACAATTTGAGTTCCAATCATCTCATGGGCCATGACAACAATAAGTCTTCTTTTTCCACCTCCTTCTTTAATTTGCCACGATGATGTAATGGTGGTGTGCTCAAAGGCTCAGCCACTCCATTGTACTAAAAATGTATGAGGTCAGGCTGGTGGTGACTGGCAAAAGGAGAGTTAAACCCATTTTCAGCAAGAGCCCTCCAACTGAATGTCTCTTTCTCTTTCCCGTTGATGTGCTCTTGCAAAGGACTCCTTCCACAAAGCAGCCCCTCACATTTGATTCATCGAGAGATGACTGGAATAACCATTCCACAACAAAAGATGCTTTGGGGCAGCCAGTGCATTACATCATTCTTTACCTTTGCTCCCTCGCTCCAACAGCTTTACACTGGACTGACAGCCTACATGAAGGAAGGAAGAAAGAAAACAAAACATGGAGTCAGGAAAAAAAAAAAAAAGAAAAAAACATCAGAGTAGAGAGGGTATATGATTCATAATATTTACTCCATTAATCTAAATCCATCATTAGTGTGCTATTTTATTTGAACAAAAAGGATAGGTATGGTTTTGAGAAAAAAACATGCTAGTGATAATTCAACTTTACCTCAAAATGTAAAAACTTCAAGAAAACATGAATATTCATGAATTGGAATCACCTGAAGACCAGAAATAAATGACTTGTATAAAATTAAAGAATTATAAAGAACAGCTTGAAGTATTATTAGTTCAACTGGGTTTCTTCCATTTTCTTTATCTATTTCTTGAAAAGAGCACATACAACAGCCTAGGACCAAGTTAGCAATTCCATATTATCAAGACAAAAAAATCTTTTCTGATAACTTAAGAATTACTGTGATGAGTGGTGGTAGTGGGGGGGTGTGCTTGTGCACAAACTACAGGCTGCAAAAAGCAACCCCTAGAGAAGAGGGAGGAAAATAGGAGGTTGGATAATTGTATTTCAGCTACCTTTTAAGGAAGAAGGACAAAAACACTGAAATGCTTGTTATAGCAACTGTGGAACTAACTGCTGGGGACTTGTGATGCACCCAGCTCCACTGGAGGCAGTCTCGAAACTATGATCCTGGTCTGTCTCTTTCCTGTGAGCTTAACTAGACACCCAGAGTTCCTTGATCTGTGGTAAGCTTACCCTTCACCTTCTTGTGCCTCATCCTCAAGAGAATCAATGACTTCCAGCCTTAGAAAATTTTATTCATTAACCAGGTACTCTAAGTCAGCTACCCAAACAAATAGAACCTTTAAAGATGGACCCAGTGCCTCCCCTGTTCTTACCAAATGCCTGTAGTCAATCATTTCCTGATTAACATTTATTGGAGTTTGGTGCCCATGATTTGGACCTGACCCTGACCTTCAATATTCTCTGATTCCTATTTCCCTTGATCCATCTCTGCTTATAAGAAATCATCTGCCACATTAAACTGTGTCTACTGTTGACATTCAACCATCAAAGGATAAACTAATTGATGGCAAAGATTTGGTATTACATTTCTTATTTCCACTGTGCTATAAATCTAAGGTGATCCATTTATGATATTACAGTAAAACCCTCCTTGTTCCAAAAACAATTTAAGACTCTAAATAAATATCTGATTAACTGATTTCAGATCAGGATGATAGAGTCTTCAAACTTCTTTGGGTCATATTTCTTATTTTATACTTACAAATTTGAGAAGTGGCCTTGCCATTTACTGGTTATGCAACTTTGAACAAATAATATAACCTATCTAAACCATTTTCCTCACCTACAAAATACAGATGTAATAGTGGCCTTCCTTCCTCACCAAAAAAAAAAAAAATTGTTCTGAGGACAAAATTATCTAATTTATTTAAAATTTATAGGTAAAAAAACAACTACACATCAAATAGAGAAGGGAGAGGAAAATGTTCTAAATGCACTGGTAAACAAAGCTGGCTTACATCTGGAATTTTAAAAAGGTATCACACAGCAAATAAAACCAGAAATAATTTTACCCTGCTACAGTGCAGCTGCAACCTCTCTCACAGAGCCTGACAGATGGGAGTTGAAGGCACCTGAGAAATCTTCTTATACACTCATTTTACAAATCAGCTGTATTTAATATATTATGTGTCCATGTCTTGTCTTCCAGGAAACAAATTTCATTACACTAATGAATTTAGTTTTAGTATAGCTTTATATCAATGAGGTACATAATCATCTCTAATTTCCAGGGAAAAAACTAGAGCAGAGAATTTGATAATTAAGCCCTAGCCAATCAACTAATAAACTTTCACAAAGCACCTACCAAGCATCTGTCAAGTCCTGACTGCTCGGTGACACCATTCACTGCAAAGTAAGGTCCTATACTCAGATTGTCTGACTCCCAAATCAGGACTTCTGCTACTGGGTTACCCAGTTTTTCCCTAAGTGCCTGATCCCATAATGGAACTGGACTGGGAAAGAATAACTTGACTTGTCCACAAGGGTGCCTGGGTGGCACAGAAAGTAGAAATCTGAGAACAAGAGCAAGTTGATTCCAACAGTGGCACTGAGTCTCTGGGTCTGATTGGCTCCTCTCAATGATAAAATCCGGATGGGACAAAGCAGTGATCTAGGTTAGCGGATCAAGGAACAAAAGGAGAGAGAAACAGAAAACATGCAAAAGTTGGATTGGGAAACTATCATCATTGCTCCCTTCTGCAGGCAGTTATGCAGAGCAGAAAATGATCATTCCTCCCCAGACAACCAGGCAGCAGTGACAGACACAAATTGACTCTAAGATGAGGACATAACTGAAGCAAAGGATTCAAAGTGAAGTGAGAATTAAGTTACATGCTTTCAAGTGTTGTGCTGAGGCCAGCTAGAGCCCTCCTAGTACACCTTCATGGCCAATGTCTGATTTTCTGTAGTCCTAAATTAATTATGCGAGAGGCACAGCCTGCCAAGGGGTTGTGGAGGATGAGGTAACAATGGCCTTAATCTTGTTTATTAAGAATTCTGATTAAGGGGCTGGGGTTGTGACTCAGCGGTAGAGCACTCGCCTAGCACATTCGAGGCCCTGGGTCTGATCCTCAGCACCACATAAAAAAATAAAGGTATTATGTCCAACTACAACTAAATAAACAAAATATACTCATCCTTGGTTACAGCTCTAAAATTTTTCTCCATTTACCTGAAGAATTCAGTACTCCAAGATCAGAGACCCGTCTGTGACCGTTTTGTTTTCAAAATCTTTTGCACCAAGTGGGATTTAAAAGATGACAAGAAAACATTTTATAATTTGCAACATCACAAAGCAAACCTTAACCAAAATTTCAACAAGAAGTTCTTAGATTCTTAGACTGAATCATAAAGGCCCAATTACACATAACAAAATCCAGGGCAAACAGGTTTTGCATTTACTTAGCCAATTGTTAAAGCTATAACTAATTTATTCCCATTTTTAACAGACAGTCATATGATCAGAAAAATAAAAGTCTAAAATATGTTTGTAACATGCATATGTACAGTTTGTGTCCATTATATTTGTTAGAAATTTGTTGAAACTTCAATATATTTAAATGAAAAATGAATATATTGAAAATGTTCCTCAAATCCTTATCCAGATCTCAATCTTGCCCTCTAAATTGTAACCACTGTAATATTTTTTTCTGATTTTTTCCAAAGTTTTTTTTTAATTAATACAGATTAAAGCAAATATATATTCTTTTCCTCTCCTCTATTCAAATGGTTACACAGCATATGCAGTTTTTGCATCTTTCACTCAACACTCCAATTTGATTTTTTTCAACATTTTATCAGAAAATGAACCAGTTTATATATCCATGGGTCTTTCATATGTGTCCTTATATCTAAATAAAACATGTATAACAGACAATTCCCCCATACACCCTAGAATTACATCTGTTCAATCAGCTGTTTACCAGGGTACCTAAAAGCTAAAGAGTACTTAATAACAATGTGCTCAGAGGGTCATCAAAGTATTTTATGGCATCCTGATAAGCAACCATCATCTATAACTACTCTGACTTAAAGCTAAAATGAGATAGTATACATTCATAGCATTAAGGAAACTCACTCTCTCAAATGATACCCTAAAGTCAATAAGGCAATATTTATCATATTTAAGACTACTAACTTAAGCAGGGCTACCCAAGAAATAATTGCAAAGTATCCCATGTTCATAAATAAAGTATTTAAAATTATTTACCCAGGGATAAAGACACAACATTTTAGTATAACAAAATGATCAAAAACAAAATCAGAGTAAAGAAATGCCATTTCTGGTATATTTTACATTTGAGCAGGACACTTATGTTTTACTATATAGCATTTAACATTAATAAGTTAAATATGGAATTTTAATTGGAATATACAATCTTTAAAGCTTTTCTATGTTGTTATATGTAATTTATTTTATGTTTTAGGATTCTACTCAGTTACCTAAGGAAATATACCTATGACTTTGAAATGGCAATCACTGGAGTTTTATGTGTTGAAATTCACTTTATATCCAACTTTGCAAAAATACAGTCTATCAATGAAGTATACTACTGAATTAGTTAAGTTTGAGAAGTTTATTTTAATAATGAGAACAAGGGGAGCCTGCTTTAGTTAAAAGAACAATCTAAAATTTGACTATAAAAGAATCAATTATTTGCCATTAAATTAACTAGCTAACGGAAAAGACGTTTTGTTTGCTTGTTGCCTTCAGTTAGTGCCCAACCAGGATTTAAAAAAAAAAAAGATTTTAAAATAATTCTATTAAACATCTTCATCTTCTCAGATAAGACATTTTTCTTTTCAATTTAACACACACCCTCCTAACTTCTAAGTCAGTCAGTCGGACACTAGATACACTCCACTCAAAAAAGGCGGGGGGGGGGGGTCCCTTTTGCTTCTACCCATGTATTATTTTTGGCCAAGAGCAATAGCTCCTCTGCCACTGGGCATTGCTGACCTAAAAAACACACTCCTGAGGCCCACAGCAGGTGGAGTAAGGGACAAGGCTCCATACATTTCAAAGGATAGTCTGAAACAAGGGATCCATAAGGAGGCAGGGGTTCCTGCTCAAATCGGCACACCTCCATTCTAAATATTTTCTTTTACAAAAAGAAATTCTCAGGAGAAGGAAAAGGACCTATGCTATGGGGTGCTTCAAAGACCTATTCTATGAGGAGAGGGATTTAGCTCTATTTGACTGGGCTAGAGCTCAATTTCCAATTCTCAGAGAGTTTATGAGAAGGATATAATCAGGTGAGAAATTCACTTTTTTTTAATTACAAGCCTGATTTAAATTTTTTCCCTCAAATAAAATTGAAGAAACAGGCAACAAAATACACCAAACAGCCTTTCAGCAAAATACTACATACCAACTTTTCAATAACAGAAAAAAAAAAGAACTTATTTCTAAAGCAGAAAAAA